TTGAAAAAATTAGTAAAATAGATAGACTGCTAGCTAGACTAATAAAAGAGAAAAGAGAAAAGATTCAGATAAACACAATTAGAAAAAACAAAGGGGATATTACCACTGACCCCACAGAATACAAGTAACCATCAGAGAATATTATAAACACCTCTATGCACAAAAACTAGAACATTTAGAAGAAATGGTAAGTTCCTGGACACACACACACCTTCCCAAGAATGAACACAGAAGAAATTGCATTCCTGAACAGACCAAAAATGAGCACCAAAATTGAATCAGTAATAAATAGCCTACCAAACAAAAAAAAAAGCCCAGGACCAGATAGATTCATAGTCAAATTCTACTAGATGTACAAAAAAAAAAAAAAAAAAAAAGCTGGTACCATTCCTACCGAAACTATTCCAAAAAATTGAAGAGGAGAGACTCCTTTCTAACTCATTAAATGAGGCCAGCATCATAAACTAAAACCTGGCAGAGGTACAACAAGAAAAGAAAACTGTATGCCAACATCCTTGATGAACATTGATGCAAAAATTCTCAACAAAATGCTTGCAAACTGAATCCAGCAGCACATTGGAAAGCTTATCCACTATGATCAAGCAGACTTTATCTTTGCCATGCAAGGTTATTTCAACATATGCAAAGCAATATGTGATTCATCGCATAAACAGAACTAAAGACAAAAACCACATGATTATCTCAATAGATGCAGAAAAGGCTTTTAATAAAATTCAACACCCCTTCATGTTAAAAACTCTCAATAAACCTGGCATTGAAGAAACATACCTCAAAATAATAAGAATCATCTATGACAAATGCACAGCTAACATTATGCTGGATGGGCAAAAGCTGGAAGCATTACCCTTGAAAACCAGCATAAGACAAGGATGCCTCTCTCACCACTTCTATTCGACATAGTATTGGAAGTCCTGGCCAGAGCAATCAAGCAAGAGAAAGAAACAAAGGGCACCCAAATAGGAAGAGAGGGAGTCAAACTGTCCTTGTTTGCAGACAATATGATTCTACACCTAGAAAACCCCATAGTCTTGTACCCAAAGCTCCTTAAGCTGATACATAACTTCAGCAAAGTAATTGATCATCTTTTGATGATGCTAGGTGATTATATCTGTAAGATCCTCAGATCCTCTGACATCAGTTGGATATCCAACAATTCAATTCAGTTCTGACAACAGCTTACCAGAGTTAGCATCAGTCTCCACAGTTTTTAAGACTGAGTCCCACAAGACTTCCCACACCTCAGATGCCAGCCAAAAATGAGATGCCCAGACCACGACGCACACTTCTGCTTGGGCAAACTACAAGCTAAGGGTTCCCATGACCCATCCTCTCAGATTCAATATTTTACTAGAACGGTTTACAGAACTCAGGAAAACACTTTACTTACTTTTACCAGTTTATTGTAAAGGATATAACTCATGAACAGCCTAATGAAAGAGACATAAGGCAAATAATTGTGGATTTTAAAAAATAATGATGTGGTATAATAAAATACATATATATTTGGTTTTTGTCCCTAGTTCCTGGCATAGAGCTCCTAAACTTGAAATTTTCTGAGTGATAGGGGTGTCGTTTGTTAGTCATAACAAGCCCCTTCTGACCACATCAGAGTTTATGCTAATAAGATGACACAGGCTGGGATCCCTAAATAGCTTTCAGCATTGGGGTCTGGTCACCACAAAGACACACAAATGATTAGAGAATGGGAACTTTCAGCCCTACTTTTCCCTGCCCCCTTTGCCAGGGAGGGGAGAGAGGGACTGGAAACTGGGTTATAAAAACTCTTGAACAAGATTTGAAGAGCTTCTGTGGGTGAACACATTGATTTCCTGGGAAGGTGGTATGGCAGGATAGAGCATAAAAGCTCCACACTCCCCATTTCTTTTTATGTCTCCTTTCTGCTCCTTATGCTGCTCCCTTTTAGAAACTCCTAAGTTGTTTCTGTTAGCTAGGAGACTTCCTCTCCTTTCATTCTCTCCTGGACCTACTCTACACAGACATTTTTGTCCCTACCTCTATCCTACTTCACTTTTTCTTTCTCAATCTTATTGTTGTATTGTAAACAATGGGTTCACGCCATTGTCCTGCCACACTGACAGATGATAGAAAATTCAAGTAGGATCTAAACATAAGAATTTTTAACATATTTATAATAAAAACATTGGTCACAAAGGGTTTTATTATATTTAAACTTTTTAAGGGCTATCATTTCTTATTTTAAAATTCCTTGTAAATTATTGCCTTGAATCAACTAGTTAGCTTTTATAATAAAAGATTAAAATATATTAAAACCAATAGATAAGATTTTTAATAGGCATTGTGACACAAGAAAGAAAATGGACCTTGTTTGCAAATATTTTCCTAAGTAATCCTTAGCAAGTCAATTAACTTTTCTAGGCTTTATTGCTTCTTTTATCTACAAAATATGTTTTACTAGATAAGCTCTAATTTCTCTTATAAATTCTAAGTATATTACCTTTTTTGATGATGACTTAAGTTTTTAAATATTAAAATATCACCAAAGTCATTTCTTAGGTTTCATAACCTTGTAACCAGTGACCTAAAATTGTAGCTTTAGTAGTGGAACGAGCAGTGATGGCTACAATAAAGAAGAGGTCAACCTAGAAGACAAACTTTCCTTAAAGAAAAAAAAATTTTTTTTAAGTTCAGGGGTACATGTGTAAGTTTGTTACATAGGTAACATTGTGTCATTAGGGGTTTCTTGTTCAGATTATTTCATCACCCAGGTATTGAGCCTAGTTCCCATTAGTTATTTTTCCTGATCCTCTCCCTCCTCCCACCCTCAAGTAGGCCCCTGTGTCTGTTGTTCCCCTCTATATGTCCATGTGTTCTCATCATTTAGCTCTCACTTACAAGTGAGAACATGTGGTATTTGGTTTTCTGTTCCTGTGTGAGTATGCTAAGGATAATGATTTCTAGCTCCATCCATGTCCCTATAAAGGACATGATCTCATTCTTTTTTATGGCTGCATAGTATTCCATGGTGTATGTACAGCACCACATTTTCTTTATCCAGTCTATCACTGATGGGCATTTAGGTTGATTTCAGGTCATTTCTATTGTGAATAGTGCTGCAATGAACATATGCATGCATTTGTCTTTATAACAGAATGATTTCTATTCCTTTGGGTATATACCCAGTAATGGGATTGCTACATCGAATGGTATTTCTGTCTCTAGGTCTTTGAGGAATCACCACACTGTCTTCCACAATGGTTGAACTGATTTAAACTCCCATCAATAGTGTATAAGCATTTCTTTTTCTCCACAACCTCATCAGCATCTGTTATTTTTTGACTTTTTCAAAATAGCCATTCTGTCTGGTGTGAGATGGCATCTCATTGTGGTTTTGAATTGTATTTCTCTAATGATCAGTAATGTTGAGATTTTTTTCATATGCTTGTTGGCTGCATGTATGTCCTCTTTTGAAAAGTTTCTTTTCATATCCCTCGTGCACTTTTTAATGAGGTTGTTTGTTTTTTTCTTGTAAATTTGTTTAAGTTCCTATACATGCTGGATATTTGACCTTTGTTGGATGCAGAGTTTGCAGAAATGTTCTCCCATTCTGTAGGTTGTGTTTACACTGTTGATAGTTTCTTTTTATGTGCAGAGAAGCTCTTTTGTTTAATTAGATCTCATTTGTCAATTTTTGTTATTTTTGCAATTGCTTTTTGTGTCTTCATTATGACATCGTTGCCTGTGCCTGTACTAAATCATGTTGCCTAGGTTGTCTTCTATGGTTTTTATAGTTTTGGGTTTTACATTTAAGTTTTTAATCCATAGACACATAGACCAATGGAATAAAATAGAGAACCCAGAAATAAGAACTGCACACCTACAACTATTTGATCTTCGAAAAACCTGACAAAAACGAGCAATGGGGAAAGGATTCCCTATTCAATAAATGGTGCTGGGATAACTGGCTAGCCATATGCAGAACACTAAAACTGGACCCCCTTTCCTTACACCATATAGAATTTTTCTTTGACTATAGAATATAGGACTTTTTGCCAGTGAGGGTTCATTTCTAATTTGTAAAATGCAAGTACTTACTGGGGGACACGCAGGACTTTTCTTTTGGTATTCCATCTTTCATCAGTCAGCTTAAGTGTCATTGAAAAGCATCCCTGAATATGTAAAAAGACAAGACTATTTCCTAGTGAAAATGGCATTTAGAAGTATCTAGGAAAGGAGAACTATTTATTCTTAGTTGAGAATGGTAATGAAATCAGAATTTGAATTTTAAAGAATCTCCATTGTGGCCCCTATATTTTGAGATGTGACAAACAGTTTGAAAAAGAGTTACTTTGCTACTGTGCATCATAAAAATATTTTAATATTGTACCAAAAAACTTTAGCTGAAACCTAATGTCATATTTTTCTTGAAATGTAAAAGATGAAGATCCCCAGACTATGAAAAGCATCTAATTTTATAACAGAATAAAAAGACTTTTGTGGATTAGAGGTATCTTTTTTCTGTTTATTTTTCATAATAATAAAAGTAATATATGTGCATTGTAATATTTTGGAAAACATTTAAACTTGGAACGATATCTTAGAATTTTAAGGATTATTATAAGCAGTTTTCTTTTACTAAAGTAATAGTCTTTCAATGCTAAAATAGGAATAACAACTCAATATGTCACAAAAATGGAAAAGATAATAAATCTTTACCTAGGTCCTTCAAGAAAAATGTTTCAATAGTGTATAACTTTAAATTTATTAGATTAAAAAATCAACTATGTCTAGAGAATTTTTAGGAATCTTCTCATCATTTTAAAATAAGGCTAAGAAAAATATACATTAAAAAATGAAATAAACAATGCCTATCTCAATGTAAAATTATTTTATTTAACACCATATAATGTGTATAACATCTGGTAATAAATACCTGAAGATATATGACACATTATATGCAACTTATGCTTTACCAATTGTTTTATAACTATTTTATTTAGGGCCCCAAAGGAGATCCAGGATTTTCCCCAGGTCAAGCTGTTCCTGGAGAAAAGGTAATTATTTGACCATGAAATGAAATTATGGTAATATATTTCAAGCATTTTAAAATGTAGATTTTACTGTAACAGACAGGAAGAAAAAAATGAGAATTATTGGATTTTAATGAAAGAAGAACTATTTGAAGAATTATATAAATTTTATCACCCGTTTCACTTATTGATTTAAGTCTTAACATTACTTTTATTAAATGTCTACAGTGGCCTGCCACTGTACTATCTGCCAATGAGGAGTGGATGGGGTAAAAAATTAGAACAGGATGTGGTCCTAATTGCAAAGATTTTTCTGTTAATACATATGCACACAATAATATATAAATTGTAATGCCAATTTACATCTTTTTAGAATAGTTTCACATACTTTATGATGTTTAATTACCAGGGTAACTCTCTGTGAGAGAAGCACTCATCATTATCTTGTTTTCCCATTAAGAAAACAGAATTCATAGATTGTAACGGACTTATCACATGGATAGTAAATGGCAGAGTTGATGATATATCCAAATTTTTAGACTTCTCATCCAGTATGCTTTTCATTTCATCACAATGCTGTCAATACAAACATATACATATTTAAGTAAAAACTAGTTTTAAAGCAAAGATAACTACAAAAACTTTATCGGGAGAAGAATACTGTTTTCTAGTGAGGATAAATACAAATGGAGTCTTAGGAGGACATCTGGGAAGTTTGGTTTAGACAGGCACTTTATAAATGTAATATAATTATAGGATGTGTTTGTTTATGTAGTATACATTCACAAACTTTAAAAATCCCTGAACAATTTTGGTGGTTCCAAAATTGATCTGATCTTATTGGCTTACAGAAACTATCATAAAGTTTGAAATCTGTCTTTTTATTGGCTTACAGAAACAATTATAAACTTTAAAAAATCACATAATTACTCTACAGATACTATATGAAATAGTAAATCATCAAAAAATTATTTCATTTTGTTTTTAAAATTTTTACTTTTATGCAATAGTTACACATATTTTGGGAGTACATACTCAACATTTTTTAAATCTAAAATTTTAGTAATTTTATTATTGTGGTGGAACTGAGTTCGCTGAGTCAGAAGATTATTAGTATAAACATAGTACTTTCATTACTGTCTTAATTATTGCAAGGACAAAATTCTGCAATTTGAGAAACACAGGTGCCATATTTAAAAATATCTAAATATAATACATTTGATTTCTTAACTTAAAATTTAGAAATTAGAGGCCCACTCAGTTTTGGTGACTATTTCAAGTAAAACCCCTAAACATTCATATTTAAATCAAATGCTTGGTTTTATCTTTCCCTGTGGCTTCTCTGAGCAAAATATAGGGTGATTCAATATGGGAGTTCAGATTTGGAAGCATGTTAGTCTTTTTTTACTTTTTGAGTTACTTGTATACTAACTGTGGTTAAAACTGTAACAGAAACATAGTAAGATATAAAATTTAATAGTATGTTGCCATAGAACTTTAGTAAAATCCAACTTTTAAAATTAATAGAGGTATTCCTAAAATTGTAAAATTTAAAAATGATCTTTAGAAATTGTACTTATATTAAATTGGATTCAAATATACTGAGGAAACAGGAAACTGGTTATACACATAAATCTGAATACAAACGAAATACAAACATTAACTTGGTGGAAGTAGAAGGGGATTGGCAAACAATTTTATTTTAACCATTTAGCCATTTTTAACAATAAATATATAGTCAATGGTGAAAGAGAAAAAGAAATGCAGGATTCAGTACTTCACCATGTAATATCCACTAAGTAACATCTGTAATAGACCATACACAAAGATTTAAGCCATTTTGGGGCTTAAAAAGAGCATGCATAGATAGTTTTTAAATGGTGTAAGTTTTTCCTTTCCCATGAGACAGGTGAGATGACATCGAAATCATCATCATCACCATCATCATTATCAACCTCATTTTCCAGATGGAGGAATTTGAGGAGAAATTAAATGATTCCTTCATGACTAAAGCTATTGTAAGAGGACCAGCCTCTTGTCTCCTCTTTCCTCGTGCAGTTTTCTCTTCCTTCTATCAGAGTAATAAATGTAAAAAAGGTAGCGCTAATCGGTAACGCCTAGTCTATTCGAGCCAAGCACATGATGGACTTACCAATCAATTTTCTCTCATTACTCCGGGGTGAGGGACGTTCTGTGGAGGTGGCACGCAGGATGGAAGGCACCGGCTCAGCTCCGGAAGCGGAAGTGCCTCCTGTGCGTCACGTGACCCTAGCTGGTCCCACCACAGCCCGTGAGATTCTCTCTGGGAATCCTACCAGGCTGCAGGTCCTCACAGAAACGGAGTAGGGGTGACACCTCAACAGCTGCTTCACAATGCACTTGTAGATTTTTTAGGGAAACTACTTTCAATTTTCTTTTCTTTTTTTTTTTATTTTCTGAGACAGAGTCAGAGTTTCACTCTTGTTGCCCAGGCTGGAGTGCAGTGGCGAGATCTTGGTTCACTGCAACCTCCGCCTCCTGGGTTCAAGTGATTCTCCTGCCTCAGCCTCCTGAGTAGCTGGGATTACAGGTGCCCGCCACCATGTCCAGCTAGTTTTTTTTTGTATTTTTAGTAGAGACGGATTTCACCATGTTGGACAGACTGGTTTTGAACTCCTGGCCTCAAGTAATCCACCTGTCTCGGCCTCGCAAAGTGCTAGGATTACAGGCATGAGCCACCGTGCCCAGCCCTACTTTCAATTTTTAAAACACGATAGACCTTGGACTGAGGCGAAGTTTGATAGCAAGAGCCTTATTACAGAAAAGAACAGAGAAAACAGAGCAAGGATATGGAGGTGGGGAAATACAGTCCAGTTATTAAGCCCTGGAAGAGATAAGGAAGGGCGGGAAGCCTCAGAAACGGGCTCAAAGATTGTGAAGACTGGAAATGATTGTAATAAGAGCTGATGTCTAAGATTAAAGGGAGCTTTAATTTTCAAGAGAATTCTAATTTTCAATTCTCTTTCATGACATTAAACTTCTGTGTTTTGTTTATAGGGTGATCAAGGCCTTTCTGGATTAATGGGCCCCCCTGGTATGCAAGGTGATAAGGTAAGATGGAATTTTACTTGTTTTCTTTTCTGTTTTTCTTTTTTTCTTTTGTCTTTTTCTTCAGGGATCCTTGTTCTGAAACATAATTGGATGATATATGGATCTTGGAGGTCTTCAGTCACTATGATCTTGTTTTGAAGTTGAGCCTAAAACTAATGTTTTAAAATTCCTTTTCTCAGCAAAAGAAAATTAGGATGCCATCATCATCCCGGAAAGTGGTGCCCACAAAAGGCAGAATCTTGAGAAAATAAAAGAAGACCCTTCAATTAATGATGGGCACAGAATTCACATGCAAGAGAAAGTCAGTCACTGATAGAATATTGAAGCGTTCCTTTTTTAAACTATATTAGGGAAACGACCTACTTCTGAGACCTTGAAGTCACTTTATAACTTTTATATGCCCAAAGTGAGGTTTACCTGCTTATAGGTAATACATATGGATTTGTTAAGAGTTTCTCATTTTACTGGGAAATAATAATCTCTGTCTTGAGGTGTATACAGATATGAGGTGTGAAGGGTAGGATGGAAGTGAGGATTGGGGATGGCTAGTAAAAAACAGTAGTCATGTTCATATGACTAAGGTTTTTGTGAGGTAGAAAGGAGTACTGACACAGCTGCAATAATTATTTTATAAAATATATCTTGTAGTTTACTGGATGAAAGAGGTATAACTTCTTTTCTATCTGGTCAGCTTGTTTTTTCCCAAACACTAAGTTACTGATTTTCTACAGGGAATGAGGAAAACAAAAAATTTCTTCTTAAGGTGTTAAGAGTACCAAAATATTGTAGGGCAGTATTTGACTTGATATGGATGTCTAAATACATACAATAATGAGCTGTGTTGTTGTCTTAGTGTTCCATATCCCTTTCCTCTTGGGAGACTTATGTTGCAAGTGGTGTTCAGGCTCTGGTTGCTTGGTTCAAATCCCAACTGCCATTTTGTAGGTTCCATCAACTTTGGACAGATTGGTTAACTTCCAAGCTTCAGTTGCCTCATTTGTAAATTGTAAGGATAATACTATCCACTTCATAGGGAGTTTGGGGGAAGATAGAATGAGACAATCCTTGCAACAACGTGTCACATAAATAGCCCTTAATAAATGTAAACCATCACCTATTTATATGGTTTTGGAAATAATCCTGACCTCTTTTGCTTTCCTTCATGGCCCCTATTATAGGGCTGAATTGTGCAATGATGAAAAAGTACTCATGAGAGTATTTTGTCTTCAATGACCACACCATTATTTTAATGTTCTTCAGACTAGTCTTCATCCTAGACCTTAGTTAGAATTTGGTAACTCCCTTGAGATTGTTGGCTGCCCCTCAAGGAGACATGAAACTGCAGAGTGATCATTTCTGACAGAATTGATCTTGATACACAGGCATGAATCTGTTTATTTAATGCTACTGAGTATACATATGACTACTCATATCTCTTAGGTGATTGTACTGACATATATCATCAAACAAGACCCCATAATATGGATATGCTCTCAATTACTTTAGTTGATATTAAATATACAGTTATTGCATCCTATGCAGTGATACTGTATATGACAGAAGAATAATCATTACTTTCTGTAGTTAAATGATGTCTGTGGTTCCTGAAATTAGCACTCCAGAAAGGGACACACTAAGTAAATGTTGAGTAGTTTTTGTGTAGAAGAGTATATAACATGCAATCTCTGGGAATACATATTATTCATAGACCAAAGAAAAAAATACTTTGATTTTAACCGTTAGAGCAGATTATTGTTTTAACTTTGAAGTTATACTTGTTTAAAGCAGAATTACTAACTTTCAGAGACCTGTGTACATGTTATATGGCCCATCAGTATTTTAAACTATTAAGAATATATTCTTTTTGGTCTGTGTAATATTATTTTGCATTCTTCTTTTCTAGTAAAGTCATAAAACAGCATTATTTTAAACATACTGGGCCATTAATTATCTTTCACAGATTTCTTGTTTCTCTTATATGATTTTTTAAAACCTTTCAATCTGGCTTTTATTATTAGCTGATAGAAGTAGACCCTATAGAAGTCGGTGATCTTGGTGTATTATCAATTAGGAGCTATTGCACAATCTTCTCAAGCTAAAATTTAGTTGAAAGTATTTAGAAAGTGACTTACTTTCTGATAAAAGAAGAATCCCTGGTTCACTGTGATTTGACAGTAGTTCAGAATAGTGTTGAAATATTTGAGATTATTTTGTAATATTTCTTGGAATATTTTCCTCCTTTTCAGAGTGTTTCTATTAATGGAAACTGTGTACAGATTTTTGAAAACCAAGTATAACTAGGAAAAGGATACAATGACTCAATTTAAGCCTAGACTAATTCTCCACCTAGCGGGCTTGGGACAAGTTTGTATCGTACTCCTTGTGGTGTGTCTTACTTTAATATGAGTATACAATAGAAATACATTCAAAATGAACTTGATATACTTTTCCGATGGTTTGTATGGAAAAGGGAAAGGACAAGACTCATTATTACGTAGAATGTTCAGGTAAAGAGCTATTTTTTTTATTGAATTTGGTTCAATTTGAACTAATGTGGTTCATTTTTGGACACTTAAGGCACTCACAGAATTGCTTCCTGCAAACAGGATCCATGCTAAGATAACCTAGAATAGTGGCTCCTATTAGCTGTAACCTAGGGACTCCTATTCCTTCATCCTTGCAGTTCTCCCCGAAAGTGCTGAATGAATTCTTAAGATCAATACAAAGATTTAAGTTATTCATTTTCTAAGTGAGAAAACAAACATAAACCCAGAGTGGTTAAAATAATTCTTCAGGGTCACTTTGAGAGTGATGGCAGGATACTGAAATTGCTGTGCTTTTAACTATTCAGTTCATATTATGAGAGATGAAAGGGTACTTAGGTTTTGGTTAATACGAAGTAATTATATCTTTTTATCTGTTAAACTATTTTATGAATTACTATTGTAACTATTACTACTAAGATTTAAAGTAGCTATTTTATTGTGTACAGTGTTCTAATCTGTCTGCTGAGCAGTCTCTTTTAATCTTTAAGACAACTCATTGAAGCCAGGAGCAGTGGCACACACCTATAGTTCTAGCTATTTAGGTGGCAAAGGCAGGAGAATTGCTTGAGCCCAGGAACTCCAGGTTGTGATGTAGCATGATCCTGCCTATGAATAGCCACTGCACTCCAGCCTGGGCAACATAGTGAGATCTTGTCACTTAAACAAACGACAACAACAAAACAACCCATTGAGACAGATACTATGTTTGGTATGTCATAAATAAGTTAATTGAGGTGTATGAGGGTTAAGTCACACTTTCAAGGCCATACAACTATTATTTGGAAGATTTATAACTCAAATCCAGGCCTGTTTGACACATATGACTGTGCTCTTAATAATTTGGATACTGCTTCTTTATTAATTAATTTATTATTTAGCACCCATAATGCAACTATTTGTTCCCTTAATGGTGTCCCATAAATTCTGTAGGCTTACTTTTTTTGGGGGGGTGGGGAGGTCTGTCTCTATTATTTCAAATGACTTTTAAGTTCAGAAGTTCTTTCTTCTGCTTGGTCTAATCTACTGTTGAGGCTCTTGATTGTATTTTTTTATTTCATTCATGGAATTCTTTAGCTGTCAAATTTCTGTTTGGTTCTTTATTGTGATATCTATTTCTATGGAATTTCTCATTCAAATCATGAATTGTTTTCCTAATTTTGTTGACTTGTCTATCTATATTCTCTCATTTCTCACAGAGTTTCCTTAAGATTATTATTTTGAATTCTTTTTTTCTGGCATTTTGTGTATTTCCTTATGATTGATACCTGTTACTGGAAAATTATTCTATTCCTTTGGAGGTGTGGTGTGTCCTTGCTTTTTCATGTTTGATGTGTTCCTACAATGATTTCTACACATCTGGTGGAAAAATTACCTCTTCTAATTTTATGGAGTAGGTTTCCTAGGGAAAGACTTTTTCATATGAACTGGTCTTGGGGTGTTGTTTTGGTGGGATATATTGGCTTTGGTTCTAGATGGAAACAGTAATGTAGTCTCCATGTAGTTTCTTCAGTTGTAATCCATGCTAGTGACATTTGAGTGTCTCGGTAGCCTAGGCCGAGAGAGTTTGCGATGGTGGTGGTGAGGCTTTGTCAGGGGTGGGCTTGCCAGGCTGTTTCTCAGGTCAGGGGCATGTGCATGCACATGGTAAGTCAGCCAACTTAGGGCTGGGTTTGGGGCTATGGGTCTCTTACTCTGGCTGGAAGCATGTTAAGTCAATATCTGTTAGATACTGGTATTTAAGTACATCTGACTATCTCTAACATGTTGCAAGAGGAAGTAAAATACTGTTTTTCATGAAAGCCAAGGGAACAAATATAGTTTTGGATGACAGATAACAATGACTTCATTATTCTTTTTCTCTGGAAAGTACCTGTAAATATTAAAATATTTCTAATATAAACCAAACTCAAGTAATCCTTAAAGCTAAAATGTCTGCAAGAAAGTTATGTGAAATACACTAATGACTGATAAAAACTGTTGAGGTAAATAAATAGAAGATTAACGTAAAAAAAAGTCTTGAAAATTGAAAGTGAAGTTGAGATAGAGAAGGCAAGCAAATTAGCAGCAGTATTCTCTTCAGTCTTTAATAGATTTTTTGGTTTGCTTCTTTCTTCTTCCCGTTTTTCCATCCATTTCCACTTTTTGAAACCAGTATTAACATTTTTAATGAGCAATATGTTTTCCCTAGATTGACTGGTTATATTGTCTTAACTAAGCAACTTTCATGTAACTCTTATTTTCCTAGGAACTGAAGTGTAGTTTTACTTCTTACTGAGTGTCTGAATTTTTGCCAAAAAAACAGATAAGTTTGATCCAGAGTGCATGCTTGATTGGATGGAAGACAAGAGTCCTAATTCTGAGTTTGGAATCAAGATAGATTTTTACGTTTTTTAATATAGCCAATCAGTTGCTACATTGGAATGGAAAGCCTTCTATTTATAATTATCAGAACAT